TGAGTGTGGGCTGGTGACTGTCTCCATCCTCCCAGGAGCCAGCGTCGGGCAGGTCAAGCCTTGGCAGAGGTATGTGCAGCTAGCTGGTGCCAGATGTGGCATAGGCATACTGAGAAGGCACCTTGGTCTGTCCTGGGAGCAGGAGCTCACACTGGAGAAAGGGAAAGAAGGGAACAGGCTGGGTCTGGTGCTCAGAGTAGCCCAAGCCCAGGAGTTTGGCCATCAATCGTCCCACCACTGACAGTGGAGGGCTCTGACAGCCCGACCCTGACAGCCACCATCACCGCATCCCCGCTCTGCTCCCCAGGGAGGTGGGTGCAGGAGAGGGAGCTCCCGAGGCCCTACCGGAGATGAAGGGGGAGGACGATGCGCGCGAGAGGCATTTCCTGCCGCAGAAGGTCTGGCAGCACTTCTCGCGGGGCGGGCAGTGTCGGTCTGTGTAGCATAAGTTGGGTGGGTTATGCATCGCGCAGCGGTAGCGAACGGGTGGGCAGGTCCAGGCGCTGCCTGCAAGAGGAGGGAGATGTTGGCCACAGGCTGCCTCAGGGAGATGAACCCGGCTCCTGTCCCATCCCATAGGATCCCTGCTAACACAGCTCCTTCCCCGCTCCTGTGCATCTCCTCTCTGTGCCTATCTAGGACATCTCCTACCTGCCGGAAGCTCCATCCAGAGGACAAGCATCCCTACCAGGAGGAGAGCGGCCACCGGCTTCATGCTGCTGTCTCACTGAGAGGTGTGAGTGTGGAGAGCTGGGGGACATGGGCATTTAAAGCCTTGGGGAGGATGGGGGGCAGGAAATGGGGCTGGGCACGTGCTAATGTTTGTACATTTTTCCTCTGCTGTTGCATGGTGTTTTCCGGAAACCTGTTGCACAAGATACGCTTAGGGTTGTTTAGTTGCTCAAAAAGCAGTTCTTACAATGCACAACTGTCCCTTGCAGCAACACCTGGGGCAGAGGGACAAGCCAAGGGGAGATGGTCCAGGGCATTGTCTCCCAGGCAGGCTGGAGGCAGTGGAGCTGCTTTCTCCTGGGCAGGGATGCTTCTTCAGGAGAAACTATTGTGGTGACCATGCTGCATTTCCTTCTGGATGTTCTTTATATGAGTTTCTCTCTGTACCTTGTTTCCATGTAGACCTGCAAATCAAACCTTACAGCATGATCCAGATCATCATGGGGCTGCCTGTGCCCTACCAGGGATAAACCTTTGAGGTTTTTATAGAAGAAACCTGCCCCAAACCCTCCTGGTTCCTGCCCTAATGGTGGCATAAGCTACTGTCGGGAAAAGAGG